GACCTGCCCCCCAGGGTCCGCGCGTCGGCTTCGGCGGCGGCGGCGTCGTCGTCCTCGTCCCCGTCGCCGCCCTCTGCTGGGGCGACGGCCTCGAGCTCGACGCCGCGGCTCGTCCGAGGTTCGCCTCCGCGCCCCTCGCGCGTCGGCTGCGGCCGCGGCGGCGAAGTCGGCGAGGGCGGCGGCGACGGCAGCGACGGCGAACGACGGACGACGACGTACCCCCAGATCCTGGCGTCGCAACTTGTACACAACATGGAGTTGTGCGTTGCTTCAGGCCCCGTGGCCATCACAGATCACTCCGGCTGGAATGCGATACAGAAAAATGATGTCCAGAGATCGGGGCGTATTTTTTTGCTGCGTTCGATTTTCGGATCCCGGGGCACGGCGGACGGACGACCCTGGGATCCGGGCGTCGCAGTTTTTTCGCGCCCGGAGTTCTCGCCTGGCTTCGGGCCCCGGCCGGGCCCTCGCAGATGGACCCGGCTCGCAAACAGGTGCAGGAAGATGGGGTCTAAGGCTCCGGTCGTGATGTTGGATTTGTTTCTCGTCGTCGGATCTCAGGGGATGAGAAGGGTTGAGGGGCAACGGTGAGGGGGGGGGATGGCTCAATTGGGGCAACATCGGGCTGGAGTCCCCAGGGGTCCCTGGGGATCAGCGCGTCGGATTTGGCGGCGGCGGCGGCGAGGTCGGCGGCGACGCACCGACGGCGAACGACGTTCAGGCAGCTCAGCGCGACCCAATAAATCCGCGCGGACCTCCGACGATTCATGTTTATGTATTGGTTTCTTACGGTGTGGGAGTCCGACCATATCAATACCTCACACTTGGTACGCGACGACGTGGAGGAGGGGATGAGGATGACTTAGAGGAGCTCCAGCCAGAGGCGGCCAGAGACAGCAGTCATAGAGTACACTCTCACGCACGCGCGTAGAATTTGCAGAGCATCCGTGAGGAACTTCGATATGGAGAAGTACAATACGAGCTGTCGATGTTGATGGACGATATTTTGTTCATTGCAGAAGCATGGCAGCAGAATCGTGAGTCAATTGTGGAAACCAGCCATGGTGATTATATATGGTGGTTCGTATCACCATGGTGTGGGCATTGCTGTATTGCCCAACTTCCGGAAACAAATCCCACCAGCCCTTTGGGCGTGAGTGGTTTAGAGAGCCCGCTCTGTTCTCAACCCCCTTTCTTCCCCTTCGGGGAGGGGTTTACCCCTCCCCCTCCCCCCTCCCCCTGGGCCTGGAGAGGTCCCTCCGCGGGTCGCCGGGGGGGTCTTTTTCGATTCCTGGGAGGGCTAAAAAACGACACCCCTCACGAGGATTCTGGCCCCGACGGGGGGAGGGAGAAAAGTGCTCCCCTCTTCTTTGAAGCTAAAATCATTGATTTTACTACGGTTTTGGCCCCATTTTGGCCTTCTGAGGGGGCAGCGCTAATTAAAGCTCCCTTCTTCTTTCAAGCCAAAATCATTCATTTTACTAAGGTTTTGGCCCCATTTTGGCCTTCTGAGGGGGCAGCGCTAATTCAAGCTCCCCTCTTCTTTGATCGATTTCCTCCAAGATGGCCCCAAGAAGCGCCCAGGAGACACCAAGAGGCCCCAAGATGGCCCCAAGAGGCCCCCAGGAGGCCCCCAAGAGGATCCCAAACGGCCCAAAGAGGCCCCCCCGAGGCACCCAAGACGCCGAAAAGCCCATCAGGACGACCCTCTACTCGCCTGGGCGTCGTTTCTGGACGGGCAGGAGGAGGGGCCCGAACGACTCACACCAGGACGAGGGGCCCGAACAACTCACACCACGAGAAGCCCGAACGACTCACACCAGGACGAAGAGCCCGAACGACTCACACCACGAAGAGCCCGAACGACTCACACCAGGAAGAAGGGCCCGAACGACTCACACCAGGACGAGAAGCCCGAACGACTCAAACCACGAGGAGCACTTTCTCTTTCTCTCCGCCTCGTCCTTCTCCCGCTCCCACCACAAGGAGGATGTACAAGGAGGCGGGAGGAAGGAGGAACAGGGGAGATATGCGGGGGCAGGCGGAAACACTCCTGAAAAACACGACTGTCGACATGCTTCGCTAGAGTTGCTGTTTTGAGATGGGCTGGTGGGGATACGCGAAGCGTGAAGAATTTCAAATACACTGTTCCATGTTTTCGGTCCACGGTGCTGCGCACTGGACTTCTGAATTGCGGAGAAGGTTGTCTTGACGAAACCTATATCGTATTTCTGGCCTCTTGGAGCGACGATAGTGCGGCGCATGTTGTACACTATATTTTGACACCTCTGCGGAGTGCGATAGGGGGAGCCAGTGCAGTGACAGTTTTCGGCGGAGGGTCCAATGCGCATGTCGGTGCACTCTTGGCCGGATATGATGAGGCCGTACTTGGTGTTGCCGGCAGTGGCTTCCCTAACGATCAGGGACGAGTGTTGGTGCCGTGGTTTCTTCACCACGGGTTTTGGATCTACAGCCACTTGGGGCAACCCCGCTGATAATTCCTGGTCAAGCAAGCGTCGTTTCGACGGCGCCCTTGTCCAACTGGATCACATCATCGCGGATTCTATTTTCCATCACGTAATTGTAACGCTCGATCATGGCGTCGGACTTCATCATCGATTAGTTAGTGCACAACGAGTTTTCAGTCGTTTGTCGGCTTGCGGGAAAACATCACATGAGCATGAAGTGTTGGCGGCCTATTCTGGACGTGCGCGGAGAGCTTTCGAAGTGTTGCAAAGCATTGGGCGACCGAACTGTGCTTTCACGGGTCTCGTCGTTCAGCTGCGTGGAAAGCATCTTGTGCAAAGAAGGATACAATCACGGGGACACTTGTTCGAACACGTTTTGATCCAAATTTTCTCCTGCTGTCTCGTCTTTGAGGCTTGCTCGACGCCGTGCGCTTGGATAGAAAAAGAGGAAGGATCTTGCGGGCAGGCTGGTATCACATATGAAGGCCGGGCCGGGGCGTGTTGCATGCTCTGGTGTTCTGGTTGCCTTTCCGTTATCGGGTCGCGCCGAATTTGAAAACGGGTAGTGCGTCTCTTCTCTGTCACCACCCGCTCGTGTTTCATTTCAACGGCCCCGCGCGGGTCCGCCAAAGCCTCGCAGCCATCTCTGTGATCCCATTCGCTTGTGTTTCCTTGTCTGGCCCAGATGAGCCGCCAAAAGGGCTTGCGCCGACGACGTTCTCTTGCGCGGCGGTGGCCCGGCCTTTTTTTTTGTTTTGTTTTGTTTTGCGTTGGCTTGCGCGGGGGGGGTGCGCGGTGCATTGCAAGCCCTTTTTTTCATCGGCCCAAAGTTTTGTGTTGTCTGGTTCGTGTCTCGAGGTTGCCTTCCGTGGCTGCCCTGGAGTCTTTGTGAGTTTGGTGCTCGGGAGTGCCTTTGTGCTTGCTCCTGCGGGAAGGGCGACGGGCCCGCGCGGCCAGACTAAAACATGTCTTACAATAAAAAACGCGGACCAGAAAATTGCGTTCACCCAATTGGCCGTGCACGGTGCCTCGCTAGGCCACGCCAGAATCTGTATGTTTTTTCCACTGGGCGAGCTGCTGTGTGTTCTCCAATTCGGCCATGCAGCGGCCCCGCGTGGCGACGTCGTCATCGGTCGGTCGGTCGGTCGTCGTCGCCGGTCGGTCGGTCTAACGCGGTTTGCGAGGTGACACGTGTCACCCTTGTGTGGTTTCACATTCTACGTATGGCCCCATATACGCGCCCAGAATATGAGTGAACAATTTTTGTTTTTCTCATACGGTTTTCGGGGAGACACGTGTCACCCCTGCTTGGTTTCATACTATGGCCCCACGTTGGCGCCCAGAATGCGAGTGAAACCGCTGGCTTTTCTCATACGGTGTTCGGGGTTACTCGTGTCACCCCTGAGTGGTTTCAACCTGTATGTCCCCACGTTGGCGCCCAGAATATGAATGAAACGATGTGTTTTCCCTTCACGTTTTTCAGGGAGACACGTGCCACACTTGTATGGTTTCACATTGTGTGGCTTCATGTTGGCGCCCAGAATACGAGTGAAACACTTGGCTTTTCTCATACGGTTTTCGGGGTGGCGCGCTTCGTTTTTGTGCGGTTTCGCACTGCATGGCCCCATGTTGGCGCCCAGCATACAAGTGAAACGCTTGTGTTTTCTGTCACTGTTTTCGGGGTGACACGTGTCGCCTTTGTGTGGTTTCGCACTGTATTGCCCCATGTTGGCGCCCAGCATGCGAGTGAACGATTGTTTTTCTTACGGTTTTCACGGAGACGTCTTGTGTGGTGTCACACTGTGTGGCCTCATGTTGGCGCCCAGAATGCGAACGAGTAAATTTGTGATTCGCACGCTGTTCGGGGTGGCGCGTGTCGCCTTCGTGTGGTTTCTCGCTGTATGGCCCCACGTTGGCGCCCAAAATAAGAGTGAAACGATTGTGTTTTCTGTCGCGTTTTCTGGGTGACACGTGTCGCCCCTATCTGGTTTCACACTGTACTTGCCCATGTTGACGCCCAGAATGCGAGTGGACGATTGGTTTTTTCTCATGGTTTTCAGAGAGATTCGTGTCACCCCTGTGTGGTTTCACATTGTGTGGCCTCATGTTGGCGCCCAGAATACGAATGAACAAAATTGTGATTCTCAGACGGTATTCGGGGTGACGCGTGTCGCTTTTGTGTGGTTTCGCACCGTATGGCACCACGTTGGCTCCCAGAATAAGCGAAAAACGCTTGTTTTTTTTTCTCACACGGTTTTCGGGGTGGCACGTGCCATCCCTGCTTGGTTTTACACTGTATCGCCTCATGCTGGCGCGCAGAATGCGAGTGAAACCATTGTTATTTCGGACACGGTGTTCGGGGGCACTCGTGTCACCCCTGACTGGTTTCACACGGTATGGCCGTATGGCCCCATGGTGGCGCCCGGGATACGAATGAAACGATATGTGTGTTTCCTTCACGTTTTTGGGGGAGACACGTGCCACCCTCGTATGGTTTCACATTGTGTGGCCTCATGTTGGCGCTCAGAATAC